GGCCAGCAATTTTCTCTTCTACGCCTGTGATTCTATTTTCTGTATGATCTAATCTGCTTTTAATACTTTCAAGGGAGATTTTGACTTCCTGTATTATAGCCTTCATCTCTAACAGGTCCATTTGATTCTTTTTAAAAGTGTGTAATTCCTCTTTTAGATCTTACAAGCATTTCCTCACCTCTTGGAACTCATCAGCTCCTTTCTCCTGCCTCTTCTGCAGTTCATTGTCTCTCTTCTCTTCCATCTCTGTTAGCTTCGTCATTATGAATATTCTAAATTTTTTATCAGACGTGTCCATGATTTTCACTGAACTGCCTGTGGATGAAGAGGAGTTATTCTTTTCCCTTGGAGAAGTATTTTCTTGCTTTCCCTTATTTCTTGTGGCCCTGTGGTAATTTCTAGTCATTTGATGGATGGTGTGTTTCTCTGTAAGTCTTGAAGTTCAATCTAAGCGTTCAGGAGCGTGCAGAAGGAAGTGACCTGGAATCTCTTTGCCAGTCTGTTTTTATCCCTTCATGCAGCAGATTCACTGGATATTGAGCAATATGTTAACCCTAATAGTATTTGGATGTTTGGCTATGGTTCCATTAGATCCGTCTAGAAGCACAGTGAATGGAGATTGAGGAGTAGAGTGACGAGATAAAAGAAAAAGAAAAGGAAACAGAGAGAGAACAGGGGAAAAAAAAACAGAGAAAAAAAATTAAAAACCACCAAAAAATTTTTTTTAAAAAAAGGCAAAAAATAAGATCATGTGGTATGCACACGTGCTGTGCGAAATCACTAGTTCTCAGGAGCCATGGAGGAGTCTTCTTCTAAAGGCCTGCCCTTGCCTCTCCACTCGAGTTTGCGGGCTGGAGGCTCCATTTTCAGTAGAAAATCTTCATTTCTCTTTTTTTCCTTAAATCACTAGTTCTCAGGAGTCATAGAAGAATCCAGAATTCTTCTATATTTTTAATACCATTTATTTATTTATTCAGTTATTTATTTATATCAGTATCAATTGAAAAAAAATATTGTCTTTAGACTTTGGGTTATAATCCAAATTATTGTTCTTCTGTTTTTCTCTCCCTTCTTCACTCCTTCTCTTTCTTTCTCTTTTCAGCACTCAATTCCAGTTTTAGCCATCAGGAGTTCTTTCAGGTTGGTCTCGGAAACCTTCAATGTGTAGACCCATTTTTTTTCCCTTAGCATTTCTGTTTTGCACAATATATCCCAGGTTCATCTCTGTCCTGGAATTAGCCAATTTCACCCAGAAGCCTTGGCTCCCATTACAGGAAGGTGTGTTCGAAACCCAGATCTGGGAGCTGGGTCTCAGAACGGCACATCCCAGTCAAGCAGCCCTGGTGACTGCCCACCCGCCTGCTCCTGGCCTCTACAACATTGTCCTGCACTAACTCCCCAAACAGCAGGCTTCCTAGCCTGTGGTGCTAGGACCGCTTTGGTTGTGCCGGCTGGAATGCTTCTCCTTCATCATCTGGTTGAAACTCTGTACTTTCCTTCAGGAAGCCTTTCCCAAACGCCTACTTGATCTCTCGCAGCCCACCATGCTACCAGTTGTGAGGTACCTGTGACATTTAGTTTTGTGTCCCTGAACTCGGCACTTAGTATGTAGAAAACCAAATCACTTTTGCTTAGTGGATGTTGTGCAAGTAGACTAAGAGCAGTGTAAGGTTCATCCTTTAAAGTATATTACAAAAAGGAAAACCATCCCCACCCCCACAAAACAAAACAACCTTCCTGTAGGCTGTTATGCCCAAGGGACCCTCGATAGAAGGTTCTGAAGAAGATCCCCTATTCAGTCATACTGTGAAAACCAGAAGAAAGAACCCCGTCACTGATGGCTCTCCTCCCTGTAAACAGGCCTTTTCTGCTCCTAGTGCATGCACATACATGTTCAACGACAAGGATCAATCCAGTAAAACATACCATCAGAAAACTCATGCAGCTGTCCCCGTCAGGAAGCCTCAGTAAGCAATAGGCAGCGGCTGGTGTTCAAATGAAACGACAACTGCGCTGTGCAGGCGTTTTCCTGGAATCGCTTAGCTCCTGCCTCTCATTTGGTCATGTCTACCGTCCAGGTGTTGGGTTTGCAAATATAAAGAGGTGACAATGGACACGGTCATGTAACTGCCATGCTGGCAAAGGGGTCCCAACTTTGGGCAATGCTGGGCTTTTTTGGTGGTACAATGCCTGGTAAGAGGATATGCCAGGGGAGCTACAGACATCATCTCCATCGATCTCCCTGAAGTAGGCAGTCCTGGTATAAGAAACATGGTGACTCTAGTGAGGAGTAGAGAGGAACTTCCTCATTTTGGGGCTGGGACGCTCTTGTTCCAAGGTGTGGAAAGGGGTGGAGCTGTCCCATAAGGGGATGAGGTGGGCATCATGAAGAGGCCAGCGAGGCCGGCATCGGATGCTTCCCTGGCAGTGACACTCATAGCACTGATGAGCATTTTTTTTTTTTTTTTAAACTGCAAACTGGTATCTCCCTTCAGGTTTCCTGTTTTTAGGTTTTGAATATACATATCTAGCTTTCGACCCATGTAGGGTCTGAACTGAAAGTTACAAAAGAAGTTATCACCTTTGCAGTAAATCACCTTTTCAACATGAAGGCTGAGATCTGAAATGATCTAACCTGACTACAGGCGACGCCTAATTGAGGCTGCACAGAGGTGTTGCCGGACAGCTTTGAAACCACTCTTGGAGGCAAGATCAATCCATGACCATGAGCCGTTACTCTGGCCACGTTCCATTGTTGCTTTAGAAGCCTAGCATAACACATTTTGAGGCAGTTTCAGATCCTGTTTGGAAATCTGCTGGAGGAGTTCAAAGCCATAGTCACTGGAGAGACACTCAGCGAGGCTGCTGGCTTCCCCCCGTGCACGTGTGCCAAAGCTTTCTCATTTCCTCTCTGTGTTCAGTTGGAGTTTGCCAGCCTTCAAATATTAACACTCATTAATATTGATATCTGAGGACCAAATCAGTAGCGCTTCCTAGAAATTACTAGGTTTTATATCAGCCAATCATTCATATTCATTCAAAATATATTGATTAAGTGCTAGGCCACTTGTGGTAGAGAACCTGATCGTGCTGGAGAAGCCTGGATAGATTAGTAAGACACGATTCTTGCTCGAGAAGCCTGTACACATTTACATACACAGCTACAAGCTATGTGAAAAGTCTTATAATAAGGCATGTATGTATACACATGTAAACTCACATGAACACATGTGTGTATTCACTCAGATACAGACAGAGAGGAGGGGAGCATAGCACTTGATCTCTTCCAGATGTGACTGTATTGTAAAGAAGGAGCACATCTGGTTGATTCTGGAGACTGGAAGCACGAGCAGTGGTTTGCCCTGGTTGATGGAGGAAAGGCCTTAGAGGCAGAAGGAGGAACATGGGCTGACGAACAGGGGTGTTAATATGCACGGCACATATATTAATGTAGCAATGATGTACATAAAAATGGGAAAACCAGCAATGAGGACAGACTTTTGCTGGCACTGTAAGGCACTATTCTAAGCACTTTACAGGCTTCACCACATTGGAGAGCCGCGTGTGCGGGAGTGATCAGAGGTGAGCTGAAAAGGCAGCTGGGGTCAGGGAAGGGAATGTTTGGAATATTGTCCTAGGGGGTCTAGAATTGGTCTGGTGGGAGAGAGCCACTAAGAGTCATAAGTAAGTACAGGCAGGATCATACCTGGGGTTTAAAAAGCTTCCTCTGTTCTTTGTGTAGGGAAAAAAAAGGTTGGAGGATGTGAGATATGAGGCAAAGACTTTGAAAGTCCTTGGAAGTAAGTGCATTTGAAGTTTTTTAACAGTTCAGGTGAGCAGACCTAACAGGGAGAGGTTGGATTTAGAAAGATTTTTGAGCAAGAAGAAACGGGCCTTGGTGACTCTGGATGCATGGGACCAGGTGGCAAGGAGGGGAAGAAATGTCTTTAAGAAAGTGGATAATTCAGTTAAGAGGCACCTGCAGAGATACCTAGCGGGAAGCTATGAATTGGAGGGTTAGGCCAGAGATAAGCCAGAAATAGTGAGGGAAGACCCAACTGCATTCAAAAGAATTTGTCCTTTTAACATTACGATCACCCCCTGGATTCTCCTAGCCCTCTCCTTGGCCTTATCTTTTCACTTGAACAGCTGTGAAACAAAGTAGAGATATATGCTCACCTTCCTGGAGGCAACACACACACACACACACACACACACACACACACACACACACACAGGTTTGATGGCATAAACACACATGAGTATCCACCCTAGAGAGGGACATATACACATAGCTCACAGACCTGGGATAAAAACACAACACACACACATGCACACATCCCTAGATGACAGAGGAACACACACACAGGCCCCAAGATGACAGAGAACACACACACACATGTCCCTGGATGACAGTAGAACATATACACATATGTTCATAAAGGACAGAGAAACACACATACATCCATAGATCACAGAGAAACATACACAGGGCCACAGATCACACACACACACACACACACACACACACACACACACACACACACATTTGTCCAGAGATGATAGGAACACACAAGCTTGCAGGTCTATAGATCAGAGAGGAACACACACACCACGTCCATAGGTGACAGAGGTCTAAAGAGGTGTACTTGTATCCACACATACATATACCCCCAGAGACCACAGTGCGCAACTTCCTGGAGAGAGTGAGGCATGTTTTTCACTCTCTGGGGGGGGTCTTTTCATCTTCCTAGCTGATGGCCTCGACTGTTAATGCGTGAGGACTCATCTGGTCATCAAGACTCCCTTTGCAATTCATTCATGCAAAACGGATCCCAAGAGGAATCTGAAGCCTTCACAGACCTGCTCTCCTCTACCCACCCATCCACAGTCCTTTTCCAGTAGGCTGCTGTGGGCCGAGGACAGAGCATTCTAGCTAGGGATAAATGACCTCTCCACCTGTAGAGTAATGACATCACTGCAACATTCAACTCTCCTACCAAAAAGCTTCTGCAGGACTTGTCCGTCATACAGATCTTCAGCCAGGTCTTTCACAATGATCCTTTCTCCAACCAACACATCATTAATCCAGTCAATTAATACCTACAGGGTGAGAGAAAGAGAGCGAGAATAAGAGACCAGTCTTACAGGCTGGCTTTCTCATCCTGGACCACTAGAATCTAAATGAACTCTAGATTGTAAAGCAGCAGAACTACCCACATGCCCTAGCGTGTGGACTGCAGCTGGGACTGGGAGTTCCAGTGGCCCTTCAAGTTTCAGGTGGAAGCCCGTCGAGGCCCTGCTACTCTCTCTGGCCCTTACCATTCATCCCCCTGGTGGCAAGCAACATTCACTCACAGTGTGTGGCTGTGTAGCAGGCAAGGGTTTGGGTTTCAGAGTTACACAAACGGGTGATTGAAACCACAGCTCTGCTCACTAGCTGGTTATGAACTGCTGTCATCTATGGACACGTGTATATGCATGCTTCTTTGTCATCTATAGACCTGTGTGTGTGCATATATGTATGTATGTGCGTGTGCTCTTCTGTCATCTATGGACTTGCGTGTGTGCTGCTCTGTCAGCTATGGATCTGTGTATATGTGTCTGTGTGGGTGTGCTCCTTTGTCACCTATGGACTTGCGCATGCTCTGTCCAATATAAAGCTGTGTGTGTGTGTGTGTGTGTGTGTGTATGCATGTGTACGTGCTCCTCTGTGGACCTGTGTGTATGTATTGTTCTGTCAGCTATGGACCTCGTGGTGTGTGTGTGTGTGTGTGTGTGTGTGTGTGTGCACGTGCACCCTGTGATCCAAGAATCTAAGGTGAGTTAGTTATCTTCTTGAGCCTTTGGTTCCCTATCTCTAAGACTAAGGACAAAAATTGCTCTCAAGTCAGGTACGGAAATGAATTACTTTTGGCAAAGGCCAAATATATGATAAAAAGCAGATCTTTCTAGTACGTAGAGCACTCTCCCATCATGACATTTGGTGACTGAGTTACTGTCACCCCCTTGTTCATGAGGACTACTCAGCATGGAAGTGAACAGATCTGCCTGAGGCCGCAGAGCTGAGGTGGAGACAGGAATGGGACCGTTACCTAGCTCACCCAATGGGCACTGCAGAGTCCCTACTAGAAGCCTACACTGGCTGGCACTGCGTGACGGCATTGCATGTGACATCTCACTAGTGAGTTCACACAACACCTTGAGAGGCACGCATCATCAATTCCATTTTTTAGGTAAGTAACTGAAACTTGTATATTGTCATGTCTATTTTTTTCCTTTTTTTTTGGTTTGGGTTTGTTTTGTTTAGTAAGAAGGGAGAAAAATGAACAGTTCTAGGGGGGCTATTACATGCCGACCACAGGGCCAGACACATGCACAATATTTCACTTAACCACATTTGTTTTTGTGTTTTTTGTTTTGTTTTGGTGAAGGGAGCGTGCGTTCACCAGAGAGAGAAACAGAGAGAGAAAGTGAGAAAAGAACTTGCAGGAGTGATGGCCATGCCACACTCCCTCCTCCCCCAGTCTCCTCTTGGGATTTTGGGCACACACACGTACACATGCCTGGAATGTTTTTCGAGTCACCAGGTCCAGGACTAAAACCATGAGGTTGACCGTGTGAGATCCAGTGCCTTCACCTCTATGCCACTGACCGGCTTTCATTTGTTTCTATCTGAGTTCCATCGCTCCTTCACTCAGCTATGACCAAAAACAGACACCTGGCTTTCCTGAGACTCAGGTTGCACGTCTGGACAATGGTGATGATGCTAACTGCTACTTCACAGGGTGCTTTTGAGGGTCCTCAAGAAAAGCACTCTATGATTGGGGCCAATGTGAGCTTATTTGTCCTGAATATTCTGGTGCTTATGACCAACACCCTTCACTGGGCACATGTCAAGGGCCACTCTTAAACCTCCAGTTATACTTTAGACATTCATCTACTAGACTGGCGGTCTGCTAGGTGACTAGACTACTGTTTAGTAGTCCAAAAAGGTCCAGTGATGACTGCTGAGTGTGTGAGGCACCTGAGCCCCTCCTCACTCTCTCTTACCTTCATCAGTTCTTGAAGTTTGGGGTCGCTGCGTGAGTTCGGATCCACCATCGTTCGCACTTCATTCTCCTCTTTAAAGAGAAAAGGAATTCAGTGGAGGTGGTTACACAGAAGGTAATGAGGGACTCCACGGAGGCAAGGGGCAGCCTTACCCAGCATTGTGTCCTCGGGGTCCAGCTCGAAGGGAATTGGGCTGAGGGGCAGGTTGATGGCGTTCATCCCCTCTTCCTGAAGCTCTGACACTGAAAAAGAAGGAAGAGCCAGGTCACATTTCAGCTCACCGATGATGGAAGGCTGCATGTCTGGACCAAACCTGTTCAATATTGATATTGAGAACAAACCCTTCGAGGTTAGATTGCAACTCTTACTCAGCCTGAGTGATTTGTGGTCGCTCTTTGCTGCAAGGACCTAATTGTCCCTTTAATCTCACCTCTTCCAACCTCACTTGCTTCCTTAGAGAAGTAGGGAGGTTGTGACAGTACAGAAATCTGACCCTCTCAGATAAGATTTCAGAGCACACACAAGGGAGGTGGGCCTGGACTTCCTTCTTTAGTCTCTGCTTCCTGTGTCCTGCTTGCTGCTCCTTTAAGGCTTACTGTCTGGTACACAGCCAGTGCCCAGTAAAGGTTGATGACTGGATGACCGAGTCGCGATTGAAGACTGTGTGTACTGTAAGCCTTTCTACCCTCCGTTCAGCCATCTTCTGACTGCTTTTCTGTCTGGCTTTCCTGAGGTACTTTTCTGGTAACCCACTTCCCTCTCTCACCCGACCCAGTCACCATTCAGAAAGGTCTAGTTCTGGCCTCTTTCCTAGACTTTCGTCTTATTCCTCTAGCTCTGTGATTTGGGGGAGCTGGGGGCAGGCATCTCACCTCTCTAGGCCTGTTTCCTCTGCTAAAAATAAAGAGTTTGACTGGACGGGAAGTTATTTTATAGTTTCCAAATCCTAGAAATTCACAATTAGACTTCCTTAAGAAAAATGAAAAGCGGTCAGTGACCTCTAAAGATGACCTGCCTGCTGTCCTCCAGCTGCCCAGCCTCCTCGGTACCTGCATTGTAAGAAAAACTCCCGGGGCCAGGCAGTGGTACAGCTGGGCCATGTGGGAATCATGACCTGGGACGTCCTGGGTGTGCAGAGTATGCTTCTGTGCTGTGATCTGGGTCAGTCTAGGGTCGATCATGGCGTGAAGACCCTGTCAGAGGTGTCTGTTTTGCTGTCTCCCTCTCTCATGGAAGAAATAAACTTAAAACAACAACAAAAACGAAAACAAAAAACTACCACAAAACCAGTTGTGTGATAGAAACTTGGCGAACGCTGACCTTGGGTTACCCCTTCTGTTATAAAAGCAGTGACTTAAATCCTCTTACTTTTCACCAGTTAAGCACAGGAAGACCATTTTCCCCATCTGGTACACAGTAGGTGCCCAATAACCAAGAAGTTCTTTAAGAGCTAATACAGCAGCTACAATCAACCGTAATAAAACCAATGTCCCATCTTTCTATTTTATTTATTTTCATTTTATTTGTTTCTTTATTGACTCTGGCCTCACTGACGGCCAGCATAGACTTGCAAGAACTCCTAAGCACAAGGCGGCCCCTCACAAAGAGTTCTTTCACGTCAGCAAACGCCCCAATAACTGCAGTTGGACAAGGAATGAGATCGCTGGACAAAGGGAGCGAAACGCATGCTATCTTAAAGGGACACAACGCGCATCACGAAGCTGGTATTCAGTCCCTTGGCAGTGAACCCTTGACATTCACGAGGTATCGCCAGGTCACTGTCTTGAGTGTCCACATTCAGACACCTACCATGGCGTAGAACGTAACAGAAAATCTAAGTGACGCCTTTGAGTCTTAAATGATTCTGTAAGTATAGGATTGTATTCGTTTTGTAGCTAAGGACAACTGCTTCCTCAGATTTCTATCATGTCTTCCAGCATCTCCCCTGGCACGAGCAGTTTGCTTTCTTTGCCAGTCTGTTTATTACAAAGAAGCACAATTTTCATTACTCACCTAAAGCAATGCTATGCATGCAGCAGGCAGTGGGAATATGTGTGCTTGCCAGAAAGACAGAGACAGAGAGGCAGAAAGTGAGAAATCACCACCTGGGGGGATGGCCACACCGCAGTCTCTTCTCCTCCATTCTCCTCTTGGGATCTTGAGCACACACCCACATGAGCCTGGTGTGAGGTTAAGCCACAAGGTCTGGGCCTCAAACTGTGTTTGACTACATGGGAGTCCAGCGACTTAGCCATTACGCCATCTGCTGGTCCCAATAAAGTCATGCTTTAACTGTGGAAGCAAGACTGAGTTTACTGGCCAATGAAGACACTTGTTCCTGTGTGGATCTTTTCTCAATGAGGGATTCTCTGCCTCAGTCTGTGCTATCTAATATAGTTGCCAATAGCCACGAGAGCTATGTGAACTTCAGTAAGTTAAAAATTTAGTTCCTGGGGGCCAAAAGGTGGCATAGTGGTCAAGGCACTGGACTCTCGCATGGCTGACCATGGTTAGAGTCCTGGACCTGGGAACTTGAAACTCATGTGGGGCACATGTGCATGCATGCCCAAAATCCCAGGAGAATGGAGGAGACGGGATTGCAGTGTGGCCATCCCGTGAGGGCGTGATTTCTCACTTTCCCTCTCACTGGCCCTCTGTCTCTCTTTTCTCCCGTGAGCGCATGCATCTTATGACAAAAATCTTTAAAAAAAAATCCAGTTTCTTAATTGCACCAACCACATTTCCAGCACCAGACAGACCACTGGAGAACATTTCCAGAAGTTCAGGTGACTGGGTGGGGTCCCAGGTATGTCCACGTATCTGAATGCTGGTGAAGATCACGGTCAGTCTCCAGCCCACGCCTGATGCTGAGCTCCAGGCTTATCAGGCTAACTGCTCACTCCACATCTCCTCGTAGGTCAGCGAATGGAGAGCTTGGGCATCCACCACAGAACTTGTGATTGTCAACGCCCTCGCCACGGGACAACGTGGAAACAAACCTGCTCCTCCCTATTCTCTTCCTCCTCAGTAGATGGCACCACTGTTTGCACAGTGACTCAAGCCAAATCAGATGAATCATCCTTAAATTATTCTTTTCCCTCACCTTTTGCATTTACTACATCGGCAGGTTTTGTGGGCTCCACCTCTAAACCAGGCCCTGGTTCCACCATGTCTCACCCTCTCCCCCGCAGCCTCCTGGTTCCAGCTGCCATCACTCCAGCACCGACAGCACAACTTCTATCCAGGGTATTGCTTTCTCTCGCATCGCCCACCCCCTACTCCCCACAGTGCAACCAGAATGTTCTGTAACAGTAGAAGTAGGATCGAATGTTCTTTTCCTTGTGGGTTCCCTCACAGAACCCCAAATCCTCACTATGATCTTAAAATATCCTTCAGTTAGACCCCTGCCTCCCTCATGTTTCTTTTTATTTCTTTCTTCATTGAGAGAGAGAGAGGGAGAGAGAGAGAAAAACAGAGAGAGACAGGCAGGCTCCCAACAGGGTTTTCATGCTGCAGTCCAGCCCCAGCCGTCACCATGGGGAGGTGCCAGGACATGAACCAGGGACCTTGTTCCCAAGTGGATCCAGTGTGTTACTGCTGCACCACTGTCTGGCTCCATGTTTTGTTTTCTCTCTTCATGATCTGAAATCATTTACATGCTTTTACTGTCTTCCCCACTGACGAGGTTTGATATTTATTCACTATAAGATCCCCAAAGAGGCCAGATGGTACAATGGTTAGGGGCCAGACTGCCTGTACTCAGGATCTACCGCTTACTTTGTGATCTTGGGCAAGTTCAATCTATTATGTTTCCACTTCCTCACCTGCAAAATAGGAGTGATAACAACATTGCCTGCCTCCTAGGGTGAGTAAGAAGATGAAATGGGGCAATGTACAGAAAGTACTTTGAAGAGTACTTCCAGTACCTCTGGGTTTTATGGAAATATATGCTGCTATGACCATGACCTAAAACAATACCCAAAGCATAGTGAGCACTCACAAAATAGACGCTGAATAAATAGAACTATTAGGGCCACCCTTCAGATGCACGGGCTATGAATTGGAGCAGAATTTGTCAGTGTTTGGGATGCAAAGGATTTCATGTTGTCCTCAGAAAAAAATGCACTTACACTTCAGCCCAAATTGCGTGTGTGTGTGTGTGTGTGTGTGTGCTTGTACACATGTGTGCCCTTAAAGAAGCTAGCTCTTAAATAATGAAATGGGGCAATGTACAGAAAGTACTTTGAAGAGTACTTCCAGTACCTCTGGGTTTTATGGAAATATATGCTGCTATGACCATGACCTAAAACAATACCCAAAGCATAGTGAGCACTCACAAAATAGACGCTGAATAAATAGAACTATTAGGGCCACCCTTCAGATGCACGGGCTATGAATTGGAGCAGAATTTGTCAGTGTTTGGGATGCAAAGGATTTCATGTTGTCCTCAGAAAAAAATGCACTTACACTTCAGCCCAAATTGCGTGTGTGTGTGTGTGTGTGTGTGTGCTTGTACACATGTGTGCCCGCTTCTGGGACAGCATTGCCAGCTTCTATTTTGTAAGGAAAGAGAAGTCATAACTGCCCCCAGTCCATTGTGTAGCCAGGGCCAATTTGTAAACACAGAGTTGTTTCGACATCCCCGAAGTGCGACTGGGAATGCAACAGCTACAGCTGGGAACTGAAAGGTAGGCCCGCGCAGGGTCTCTTTCTATGTGTAGATCATTGTTAAAAATGTTTCAGATAAAACATCCCCAGTCAGAAACACTCCCCTCTTCCCTGCCTCTTTAATTCACTCGTAGAGACATAACAAACCCTAGTCGAAAGGCTGAGATATGTTTGCAATTGAAAATGTTTTTTTCAGGAAACGATTTGGTACAGGAACATCATTCCCATTCCATTAACTGCTGACTCTGAGCCAGCTGTTTGTAAAAGTGAATATGCAAACTGCCCGGTTCAGGCCTGGCCCCCGCCCCATGAGGCCCCATTAGTGGCCACTTTCCCAAAACAGCCCGCCTGCTTTGGAGGTTTCATTTCTATTAAACCAAAGCAGGACCCAGCAGAAGCCTCTTGCCAATCCCTGCGCTCTGAAAGAGAAAGAGCTGCAATTGAATTTTCTCAGCACAGAATATGAATATGATGTTTATCCCCTGAACCTTCTCTAACAATCTAAAACTAGGTCTGAGTGTGCAGCCCTCGGTGTCTCGCAGCGCCATTAGTCATAACTTAATCAACAGATTAA